GTCTCTTGGTGCCGCCGCAGGCAGACTCTTGCAGCGGCACCGTTTTTGTCCGAACTTCCGATGTGTTCTGTTGTTGTGTAAAGAATTCATCTGTTCTGTTTTTGTTTTAGGATTGGTTATAGGGGTTATAGGGTCATTGTAGAGACGCAAAATTTTGCGTCTCTACGGCCCCCGCAAATGTCCCTAATCGTTACTATAAACCGCAGTGTTGCTGAACGACAGCCCCGTGAACGTGAACTGTAGGGTGGTAGTGTCCCGATAGACCATCTGAGAAGGGATGTTCAGGAAGAGATGGTTCCCTTTATCATCCTCATAATCTAAAGAACGGTCCGGCATCAGGAAGAAGTCCTCCGAGGTCAGACCGAACGTGTCTGTGGTCGTGGCGGTGACAACGGTGCCGGTCTGCGCTATGGACACTCTGGTAGATACGGCGCATTTTCTTCCTACACCTTGACATTCAACATGATAAAGCTTGCCATTAATCATTATACAACCCGGACAGTTGTTGCCATCATGCCCTGCATAAAATACAAAGAAAGGTCCGCTTTCCTTGCTGCCCGCTTCTACGGGAATAACCCTGTCCTTCCCGATTGGTGGAGTATCCTCCTTTTGACATCCGGTTGCGGTGAACGACATTATCCAAACGGATAATGACAGCCAAAGTAATTTTGTAATCTTTTTCATAATTTTTCTTTTTTTGAAATTTTGATATATGTTTTTGCGTCAACAAAAATACAAATTGTTCAATTCGTTTATTCCTTTTTCCGCTTACTTTATCCCTCAAAGGGGCTTTTTATGACGAAATTGCCATAATTTAATAGAATATTGATAAAATAAATGATAGAATAAATATTGATGTATGACATATATAACAAATTGGAAAACAACAATATACAAACACCTGTTCCCCGTTTTGCGGAATCTAATTTGTAAATAATCGAAATTTCGTCATATTCTTACTTCCACCAAGTTATTGACATTTTAAAATCGTATTTTCGCGCTCTGAAATTTCGTGATATGAGCAAAGATTTGTCAACTTTCGGAAAAATTTGTATCCATGTCGGATTCTGTTTTGTCATTGTCATCTTCTTTGGAAAGAATACCGTTCTGCGTCCGCCCGCATATAATACAATGTATAAAGAATATATTACGGGACTTTTGCCATTGGCATTGTTCTACGGCAACAGACTTGTCCTTTTCCCGCAATTGTTTCTTAAAGAAAGACTGTTCGCGTACATTTGTTCCATCACCCTATGCCTGATTGCCATCACCTGTGCGGAAATAGCATTTGTTTATCCACAAGTCGAACCCGTTTTAGTCAGTATGTTTGGAGATGTGGCCGTTAAGAATCTCTTCGTCTATTACTTGCCTATTATTATCTTACGAAATTCAGGTTTCGTCCTGTTCTCCTTTGCCTTTTGTGACATTCGCCATCAAGCTGCCCTTAAGAATAAATATGAATCCCGCCTGAAGGAAATCGCGGGCGAGGTGGACATCCAAAAGACAGAGCACGAGTCCGGACTTGCCAAAATAAAGGATATCCTCTATTGCCAGCAGTTCAAAAATTACACATGGGTGGTAATGGAGGGCGGAGGCTTCTATACCCGATACGGTTCCCTAAAGACTATGAAAAACCTGCTTGGTGAGGATCTTTTGATTGATGTGTCGAAAGGGTTGCTTGTCATGCAGGATAAAATCCACTCCTACGATGAGACATCCATCACCATAAGGGATCCTGTTCAAGACAAACTTTACCCGTTTGAATGGGGGGCTGGTTATTATGAAAGTGTATGTCGGATTCTTTCTGTTCGCTCTTCACAAGAAACTATGGAAAGCGTTTTGGAAAACACCTCCGAAAAAACAAACAAACCCTCGTCCTCTTCCACAAATCGAAAACATTTAATCGCTGTTTTAAAAAAGCATCAAAACTTTCGCCCCGTTTATTTATACATTCGGCGTCACCCGGACTGCAAAGCAAGCGAAATCGCATCAAGACTCCCAATCCCCACAGGTAGCCTCAACCGCATCCTCAAGCAGCTCAAGGACGAAGGCCTCATCGAGTATGTCGGCAGCAAGAAAACCGGCGGGTACCGGGTGAGGATGTAGAGACGATGTGCACATCGTCTCTACAGCGGTTAATTCATCTGTCCGCGTGTATTCGTAAATTGTGTACATTTGCGCAATTTTTTGAAAAGTATGTTTAGTCTGTATATCAAAGAATTAAAGGCGTTTTTAAGCTCAATTATCGGTTACATTTTCATCGGGGTTTTCCTGATTG